GAAATAATTCGGCTTGATAATTTAAAATTTTTTTTGGATCGTTGAGTTCTAGAAAAATGGAAAGTTGCATTTTCAGCCAAATTGAAAAAATCACAATTAACAATGCTATTCATTTAAATCTTAGGAAAATAATCTTCACAATTTGAAAGTAATAAGTATGATTAAACTTCTTAAAATTCTTGATATAAGTGAACACACTTTAAAAGGATATATCTTTTAAAAAAATTCCACTTCGTATTGATCTTGACATCAAAAACAAAAATATCAATTTTATCTAAAATAAAATGTAAACATTTACATAAACTTCAAATTTTAAAAATAGCATACTGCTCAATATCTTCAATCAGTAAAAGTACTTTTCAAGATTTTTAAATTTGAAAATATTACAATTAAATAATTCTTTATATCTTTATGAAAATAAATTTAATATACTCTTAAAACTTCCAAAACTGCAGAACTTATTTAACAAATATTTAGATATTTGTTGCGCTTTTAAGCAATATTGTTATAAGTCGTTTATAAGCTTGTCTTGCTGAATAAAGCGGTTTGTATTAAACGTCGCTGCTGTCCGCTTTTTTTGTTCTAGATATATGGATATGCTTTGTTAGCCATCCGTCTTTAATCTATTTTTGGTTTTTTCGCTTCGAGCTATAGGCTCATAAGGGTTCTTGTTCGTGCCTTTATATATGACTATCAGGCACTGCTCAACGCCTGTCTAAAGGTCACTAAGCAAACTTGACCCACTTACAACATATACATATTTCAAGGGGTGAATTCTTGAACGCACAATCCGCGACTATGGTTCGCGACTGAGAATGGTAGTTCATGGAACACGAATCATGGATGGCGTTTACAGTCAAACATTCACGCCATCATATATTCACCCCGTTATCACCCTCACAACCATAAGACAAAGTGTCAATTTTGACAGAGTTTTTCTTTTGAATAATTATAAGACTTCTCTTGTCTCTTGGGGAGATCAGGCCCGGATTTGTCTTCCATTCAAGGACATTTGATCCTCTTCTTTAGGTTTTACTGTATAACACTGCGAGCTGCATTTAGTTCTTTGGATATTCTAGATAACCATCTTTTATTTAATCCAAAGATTTTTTCCCTCGATTCAAGTCTTTTCTTCCTCATTATGAAATATTCTCTATTTTTTTTTTGTTCTAGAGTTGTCTAACACTAGTCAGAAAATGTCATAAAAAATTTTTAATTGAGTATTATCTAACTTTTTTGAATGAAAAGGGATCAAGACAGAACTCTTTTCCTCCGTTTTAGTGAAAATTTGAAATATATAAAAATTACTGTAAAGTAAAAAAAAATTTTTTAAAGAGTCCTTTCTATAAATTCGGTTGTATAAATGTCATAATCTTCATTCTAAATAAACAAAAGATAATTAAGGAAGTTCTATCAGTTAAATAATTCACTTTTTCCACTCAAAAAAACTTACAATTTGTGAAATCTGGTTGCTAAGCAAATATTTTTATCAACATTTATCATATATTCAATAATATGAAAATTTTCCGTGAGTAATAAACCGGTATTTGTTGCCAGAGGTTTAAAAGAATGTTGACAAATTCATTGCTAAAAGTCCAATATTTCTTTGTAACCCATTTTATAAATTAATGCAAAGAGAAAAACAAAAAATCCACAAAAAGTGATAGTAAAAACAATAAGACAGATTTCTGCATTGACTAAGAAAGGTATAATTTTCTGTTGCCATGTAACCTTTAATATTTTGGTAGAGTTAAAAAAAATTCTTTCTTTAAGTATTTCCAATATAAAGAAAACATGAGCAGAAAAAACTAGTGTTATTAAATTCAAGCAGAATGAATAGACAAATAAATCTTGAAATTTTTGTGAACAATATCTTTGTTGTATAGTAATTGTAGGAATTTCTGTTTCTTCAGAACAGTATTCGTCCTTTCCAATTATTTATCAACTTATCAAAGTACTCACACAAATAGAACTTTCCAAGTTCGTCCACAAATAGTCTTAATCAATGTAATTTCGGTAGAAATTAATTAGCAAAATGCTGAGTAAATGATTTTCTAGTTCTAAACAAGCAAGTTTAAACAACTAGTTAACGGTTAGAGAACTGAACTGACAAGCTATGAAAAGAGAGAAGAATATTGGAATGCTGCTTTGAAAACGGGAACTAACATGGAAGCCTCTTTTTTAGGGAGAATCAAAAAACCTGGATATAGAATGGTCAAAAACAATTGATGTTTCAGAAATAAAATTTAATAATGTATTTCTCTTGCTTGGCAAATTTACTTGTTCACAAGTTACAGCAGTATTGGTTCTACCCGAACCTTTAAACAAAGTGTTTAATTTAAATGGTTTATTTCAAATAAAAAGTTAAATCTAAGACTTCCAATTAAAAACATTATTTACTTTCTATAATAAATATTTTACCTTTTAATTATTTTACAAAAGTTTTATCATAAATATTTTAGACAATACGACTAAAACAAGGGACCGGTCGAAAACGGCCATAAATGAAATATTTGAAAGTTAGATTTCAGCCTGGGAAATGGTTAGGAGGAATAAGATAACTGTTGATATGTTCTTAGGAGGGTCCCATCTAAGGGTTAGGGGTATTCAAAAAGGTTAGACAAAAACAAGGGCTGGGTTAGGGTTAGGGTAAAACCATAGATTTATGACCGTTTTCTACCACATCCCTAAAACAATTGTTGATAAAAAGCCATATGTATTCATGGCGCAACAATATACACTAATTCCAATTGCATTGTCCATGAATCCCACTTATTTGTTATTTGGTAATTTGGTAATAATGATCGAACACAAAGCTATCCTGGACAATCTATTGGAAGGGTTCCTTAATTACTTCCATACTCTAGAACTTGGTTACCAAGATAAACCACGTATGCACTTTAAGAAGCGCTGGGGGAAGAACATTACTCAAGAATTTTATAAACAAAGTGACAAAGAGTATCAATTTAGTATGGTCATTTCTCCTTTTATGAATAGTAAAAATTCTAAGCTGGCTAAGTTTCAAGTGTCGTTCATAATCATTTGAACTCACCCTTATTAACGCCGCAAACAGGATCGCAGCGACTAGGACGGGAAAGAAGAGGAAGATGGCATCAACAGCGAAGTGAATTGTTAGAACTATTGAATAAAATGTCAACGCCCCTTCTAGTATCATCAATTAAATTATTATAAATTATTATTATTTACAACTATTCCTGCTCTTCATTTATTGCTCTTTCAAATTGCCAAGACAAATCCAGCAAGAGGTCGGACATATCGTTTTTAACCATTCCTTTGACTTCAATTCACCCGTAAAAGAACTGCATAAAACAATAACGAATATTACAAATAATATCCGAAATGGATCTACAATCCCCCCCGGAAGTCAAAAGGTCCAGGCAAAGTTTGTAGATGCTCAAAGCCGTGGACTGGAAAGTAGTAATAAGCCAGCAACAAATTGCTTACATATTCGACACATAAATATAGCTGTGGTGGCGTGTTTGTTACGTCTTCTGGTAGCCGAACATTATCCTTGATGATATTCTAAATATTAATATGTTGAGGGCGTAAGAATAGAAACGGGAGCATTTCAGTACAAAGATATAGAATGACAGATTTGTTCAGGTCTCAGATTATGAATGATACTTGGTCACTAAAACAATGGTCAGTATATCAACATGCAATTAGAACTAATAAGGATGTGGAGGAATTCTTAATTGCAAGTTCTGTCTGTGGGCAACTTCAATCACAGTTCTGGGCGACTTATGCCTATTTCTCAGCGTCGTCTGTCCTGGGTGACTTCTGTTGATCCCTCTTTGCAGCACTATGTGTCGAGGTTAGCTGGAATTTCTTCGAGTTTTGATCCAATAATAACCATATCATCTGCAAAAGCAAGAAGGGAAATGTCCCTCTTTTCTTAAAGATTTGTAGAAGAAATTCAAGGTGCTTACTAGAGTCAAGAAGCTCTTCATTATCATTTCTCAGAATCTTCAATATTAGCTTCCAGGAAGTACTATCAAACTTTTCGTATGGGGTAATCGTTTTTATAGTAACACAGATTTTACCTAACCCGGAAATTGAATCATTTAGTTCCTTGACCATTGGGAATCTGTTTGGTTTTCTGGTGAGCTCCATGAGAGTTAAAGTTAATTTTTTTCCCTGTGAATACTAATTAGATGTTCTTTTATATATTTTTTCTTCTCTCCCTAAACCAGATTAAATAAATAAATTTCAAAAGGAATTAATATTGCCAATTGTTGATAATGAAAACAATCAATCTGATGTTATCAACATGATAGGAATTTTGCTTAACTACTGTTGAAGATGTTTACCTCCATGTCTACTAAGCAATATGTTATTGATTATAAGCATATAAAACGCTATTACTGCATTCAGTATTGATTAGCTGAGATCAGAGAAGATTCTCGAAGTGTCCCTAACCTCCACTATATAAGGGAAATGGCTGTGATTGATTATTCGACGAAAGAAAGTATAACCTCAGTCTTCAAAAAAGAGAATGAGAAGAGGAGAAATTGTTTAACTTGAGTTAAACTCACTACAATCCCCGAATGACTAACCGGGGTAATTCAATTTCAGTGTGCTGTTACCACCTGCTGTAGAATTGAAAAGCGGTTGGGCATAGTTGATCCTTTTTAGGAATAGACTTTTCGTTTATAAATAAGAATGTACAGAGCATTTCACCTTTACAACAGTAAGGTGTTTGTGTGACTTTTTAGAACAGAATGGAAATTCGCCGCATTCAATTTCGCTGAATTTCCTAGTTAATAAAAAAAGAAATTTGGCTTCTATCCTCTTCAATCCTTCTTAATCAAAGGATCAAATCCTACTTTTGCTAGATGTTTAGCATATTTGCGACACCATTTTAGAGTAAAGGAAGAGGAAATAGGCGAGATGAACCAGACATTTTTCTTCTAAAATAACAGACGAGTGTTTTAGTTGGGAGAACTTTACACAGGTTTGGCCTTTGTCAAAGCTAGATCAGAAGATTGAAATGGTCCCCAACAAAGTTTCCTACCAGAAAGTAAACTCCATTTGTAGTTTGGAAATAGAGAATCCCCTCTTTAGGGAGGAGAAAGAAAAAGACTTCAAATGAATGTAACCTAGAGAAACATGCTGAAGGAAGAGTATAAGGGTGGTCGGATGTCTGTCTGTTTAGATGGTTACCTGGATTGATTTGTCATAGATAGATTATAATTGCGATAGATAAATAATTAACCTGTAACATGCCATAGCTATAGGCTTAAGGGTCATTTTCATTATCTATAATCGATTGGCAATTTTTTGAGAAATAATTAAGTTAATTTGAGATTGAGTTGTTAGGGAGACGCCAAACGACAGTGTGTTAGTCGACCTCCATCTGAATGAAAGAAATCTGGAAAAAGAACTGTATTTAAAGATGATTTCATTACAAAGAAAAAGATGCGTCTGAGTTATTGTCTGTACATTTCCATCTATTCCTTCAGCTCCAAATTATCAAGAGAAGGTAAAGTTGCTTTACTTATTTAAGAATCATTATTAAAGCATTCATTATTAAAGCATTCATTCCTTAGAAAACTAGAAGAAAACTGGACGTTGTAGCTGACAGCAGGAAACGCCAAATGGAAAAAAGCAATTGCCTTCAGGACTTACAGATAATATAGTTGTTCTCTTAGTATCGCTGCCATTCACACCTTTCTCATTTTAAAGATTCGTTGATGAATTTGTAAATGATAAAGTAAGACATAGCTAAAACATAAAAATAAGCAACGGAAAGAAAGGAACAGAAGGATAGATAATGCTTTTAGTGCCCTATATATTCTCTTCAAAATAATTATTCTCAATCTAGAATAATCTTGATTAAGTCCAATGTTAATTTTTTTATCATTTTCCATCTTTTTCTATAGAATACAAAAATTTCAACCGAAATTAATTTATTTACGAAGAATGGCTTGGGGCAGAGCGTAATCTTCATAGTTTGGGACAGTATGGGTAACACTGTCACCACAATCAAGAACAATACTGGCTATTCTACTGGAAGCGTACTAAGACAAAATTCTTCGCAATGATAGGAAGAGCCGACATCGAAGGATCAAATAGCAACGTCACCATGAACACTTATCTCTGTGGTAACTTCTCTGACACCTCTTCCTTGAAGCTCTTAAATAATGACAAACGGATCGATAGGCCATGGTTTCACTGTCTGTATTCTTACTGAAAATCAAAATCAAGTGAACTTCTTTAATAAGCAACTAATTTCATAGCAAGTGGTCGCTGTCGGAGTGTCTAACGAATGATAATTATCAAATATTACCGGAATAGGGAAGGAGTTGAGTGTTCTTTCCTCAAAAGAATCGGTCAAGTGCTGATCCAGAAGTTCGTCATAATTGATTTGCTAGGGGCTGGAGATTTTATTGGTAGCAATTTGACCCTCAAATTAGTAGACTGTCTATTTCAGTAAATGGAGACATAAATAAATGTACACATCACTAAAATGATAAAAGAAATACCAGATATTTTGTTACTTAAATGCCACCCGATATTAGAAAAAATTCAATTTACACAACAAAACGAGACTGTTACCATCTTTGCAAACGTAGACACACGGATTTGGATATCTCTATTTTCAGAAGATATTGCTTCTGAAACTATTGAAACAATAAAAGAAAATCAGAAGGAGCTTATTGCTTATTTAAAGACTACTTCTTCCCTATATGAAAGTCAAGAAGGTGGTAATGAAAAAGCACCAGAAGCTGAAAGTTATCCACTTTCCTCTTCTCAACGCAGACATCAAGTAATTGAACGACATGAAATTCTTAGAACTGTCTTCCGAGAAGATGAGAACGGAACTCCACGTCAATATATTTTAAATATGGAGGATTTTAATTTTTCATGAGATTATTTGAACCTTAAAGATGCAACAGATGCTTCGTACAGAGTAGACAGTTATATCGAAAAACATAGTTATCAAGCTTTTGATTTTTTCAATAGTCCAATTTCAAACAAAGCATCATTAATAATACCTTGTTGGAAGTCATCTTCACTAAGTCCAGCGGCATTTTGTACTAAGAGTATTTGCGCTCCAAAAGCCTGAAGCTTTCAATAAATTGGTTTCAAAATCTTCAGATCGATTTTCTGAGAACTCCAAAATATAAACTTTCACCTTAAAGTTAATGCTTGTTAGGTGCCTCGCAATGACAAGGCCATCCCCTCCGTTATTTCCTACACCGCAAAAGACAAAAAGTGTTTTTCTTCAGCTTCTTCCCTATTTACGGCACTAATCATTCCCAAATGATCCACACACTTTAAAGCAGTACTGGTTCTACACCAAACCTTTAAACAAAGTGTTTAATTTAAATTGTTTATTTGAAATAAAATACTTAAGCTTGTAATAATATAAAAGTTGAATAGCAGAGTAGATAGTTTGTAATAGTAGATTGCCAAGTTACCAAACTAGCGTTCAATGTTGAAAGGGTAGAATGCTTGTCCCAGTGGTTGTTGTATCCAGTTGATCTTTCCAGTTTAAGGTAAGACAGTTAGAGTAAAACAGTGAGGATTTTTATACTTGTAGGTTTGTCTCCAATATCCAATCACCCCTAAACAGTTGGTGGTCTAGGAACAATGTTACAAAGTTCAAACTAATTAATCATACTTTGGCAAAACCCTAAAGAAGCAAGATCATCAATCACAACTTGGCCAAACCTTAAGTGGCATTTGAAGATGAACCTTAAGTGTGACAAGGTCTGAGTTTGGCTAAATGGTCATTGTATTTCTAGCGTAGGTTTTTGAATAAGTGGTATATAGTAGCATAGTATAAGCATAAAATATCATGAAAATTGTACAATGATAAGCGTCTAAAATACATTTCCAATAGGCTTAAATCATGTACAGACCAATTAATAAGAATTCATTTTAGAAAATTTGAACACTGTTTCAATATTTGCAACAATCAACTTAGAAGGAAATGGGAATATGAATAGTGGATTATTTCATATCTGTGATACGCTTTCCTTATCTTTAAATACATTAAAGCATATCAGTTTCTTAGATTTGAATTAAAAAGAAGAATGCTCTAGGATTAGACAAATTTTTAAAAGATCTCATAACTTAGAAATAATTAGCCTGGAAGGGAATTTTTTAATTGGAAATGGAATGTTTCATATTTGCTCCTCTGCAAATACTTGAAAGGAAATCCATTTGGAATCTTCTAAATTGAATAGAGAAGATTGCAAATGCTTGGGAAATCTGTTGGAAAATTGTACCAAAATCGAAACAATTAATTTAACAGGGAACCCTTTCATGGGTAATGGATTGATCAGTATTTGTTCAGGATTGTCATTCTCATCAAATCCTTTGAAAAACATCATTTTTTTATTGCAATTTACAAAAAGACACTTGTCATCAAGTTGAAAATCTTTCAAAAGTATGCTCCCAAATAGAAACAATCAATATATTTTATAAAGAATATCAATTTTTCATTTTGCAATTCTAAGTAGGACATGTTTAGAGATTTGAAAACTATTTAAAATATGCTTTAAAATTAAGACAATAGATTTAGAAGGAAATCGAATGATTTTTAATATTTGCCAAAAACTTTTTCACCTAGAAAGTACATTAAAGAGCAGAATTGCTTTTAAGTGAAGCAAGTTGTGAATGGATTGGAATGCTTTTGGGTAAATGTTTCAAAATAGAAAAAATCAATTAAGGATGTACCTGGCACTTTGGATATTCTAAAGAAGCTCTTTCTATTATCAATCACTTTTTTCATCATTATATATTTTAAAAAGTCTCAATTTTCGAAATTATAAATTAAGTTTACAAGCTTACCATATAAATTATATTATAATTTATATAATTTATAGCTCTTCCGAAAATGTTTAAAGATAGAAGCAATCAATCTAGAAGAAAATGAATATTTACAAGTTGGCCTATTCATTATTTGTGAAGTAGTATTTCATTCATCAAATACAGTGAAGAATGCCAATTTTAAGTTCTGTATAACCAATAAAAACACCTTTGAAGAGATAGGTCAACTGTTCAAAAAATGTTCCAATCTAGAATCAATTTATCTCTCGAACATTAATTCATTGTTATTAATGAACTCGTGCATTCATCAAGTAATTTGAAGAATATCGATTTTTCATATTATAAGTTTGATAAAGAAATTGCAAAGCTTTTTAAAAATTGCTGTAAATTGGAGACAATACTTTTCTCAAAAATTTCTGGAAAGTCTGTGTGCAGGGTTGGTTCCCTCATTGAACACTTTAAAGATTATATCTTTTAACATAAATTCTATTGATGAAAATGAGTTTAGAATGATTAGAAAACAACTTTAAAATTTTCCAAAGTTGTTGGAGTTAAATTTATCTATATATAAATGAACCCCTATAGCCTCTAAATATACATTTAACTTGTAACTGAATAAATTTTAAGATTATCGTTTACTTCAATTGAAAATTAAAAATTTCTTTTTCTCAATCCCTTTCAAAGAATCAAACAACTACTTAGTTGCTGTTTTTGTCTTACAAACTACTTTTCAATCCATAATCTAGTATTGAAATTTCTCATTGGTAGACGTTTTCTGCCGACCCCAAAATTAACCCAGATCACAGTATTCAATAAAGCATTAAACCTGGCGTATTTTTCCAATTTTCTGAGGAATTTTTCTATTTCTACTAATAAACAAAATGGGTTACAAAGAAATATTGGAATTACAGCAATTAAATGGTCAACATTCTTTTAAACCTCTAGCAATAAATACGAATTTATCAATCAATTTTCATACTACTGAAAATATGATAAATACTAACAAGAATATTTGCTTATTAACCAGTTTTCACAAAATGCAAGGTTTTTCATTATTTTTTCTGTTAAGCAACTTTAAAACATTTCTACAGATCTTTTCAATGTGAAATGGTGATATTTATTATCTGTTTTTTTTCAGATCTACAACAGTGAATTTTAAAAATTGGATAGATATTACTTCAACATTTTATGCAGTACTGAATAGTTTACATTTGTGTATTTTTAATTATAGTCACCTGACAGTATATCAAATTGAATAAAAAAAGTATAATAAAATATAAAAGATGATAGATGCCAATTCCATCTATTCTAGCTGAAAATTAGTTTAGAGAGATTAAAATTGCACTAATATCATGGATTAGTGAGCAACTATATTCCAAAGGGTTAAGTAAGTAAACGACTTATTAATGATGTCAACTGAATCATTGCCGTTATTATTCCTGAATATATAGACTTTGTCTAGTTTAGAATGCAAAAGCCATAAATGAATGAATGAGAACTTTGGAAAATTAGGAAAGATAAGCAAGATGGGTCCAGAACAGGTGATAAAGTTAGGACAGAATACAACATTTATGAATAGATGAACAGATGAATGAATAATTCAATACTGTCATAAAATAAGAATACTAAAAAAACTAGGAAACAGATCTGACAACAAACATTTAAAGATCTATCTATGTGCTGGAACACAAAAGCAAGAAATAAATAATATAGGGGTCGACAGAAAACCTCCACAAATGAGAAATTTCAAGACAAAAATTTGGATTGAGAAATGGTTAGGCAGAAGAAAACAGGAACTGATTTGTACTTAGGAGGGTCTCCCCTAAGGGTGAGGGTAGTGGAAAAGGTTAGGTACAGTTAACGGCTGGGTTAGCGTTAGGGTAAAAGCACTCATTTGTGGACGTTTTCTGTCCCATCCAATAATATATGTTGAAAAATTTTATAATTTCATTGTTTTATATGTTTTTACAGAATTTCATTTTGCAGGTAAAATGAGAAATACAAATTGAAATTTTATTCTAATGTTTTGAACAGTTTGAGAAACCAGTTTAGTATGTGAACATCAAACTATGAATTTGGAAATGTTTTATGGAAACAGGCTTACAATTACCAGTACCAAATTTGGTAGTTTTATACTTTGACTATCAGTTTGTCAAAAATGTCTGAAGCCTGTAATCATAAAGAATGTGTTACAGCATCAAAAAAAATATTTGGTAAGCCATGCTCCAGCATAAGGAAATATCTTCGAGTCGAACATTTCTGTCTTCCACTTAAAGCCGCTTAAAAGACTTAGGTGATTTTAATATTGTTATTTTACAGCCACGTTAAAATATTATGACATGCTTTCTGCTAAAACATATTCTGGATCCGACATTAAAAATCTAAAGAGTGTCAATCTTGAAAAATGCGCTAATGAATGTACTATGCCACATGATTGTGCTGGTATTATCTGTAACTAGAGTTGTCATGCTATTTGAAGAGTTCGATTAGCGATGATTCAGCGGGTTTTTTGCCTAGTGTAATCAGCGATGTTTACATTAAGGAGTAGAAAAAGATGTGTGATTAATGTCCATGATCTAGAGTTTCTTTTTAACATTGATATTTAAAAAATTATCTCAAATAGATGGTAATCTGTGCAACAGATAAAAAATCCTTAATATCTTATTTAGTTCAAGGCTATATGGGCAAAATTGCTATAGTTTTTCGGATAAAATATTTCATTCTTTTCTTCTTTTAACCTAACAATTAACAAGATTCTTTATATTTTGTAGTTTCTAAAATTAGAGCCTTTCATAATCTGAAAAGACTCCAAATTTTCCTTAGCCTAGAAATGCCCGTATCATTCATTAAACTTTTGCGTAATGGGGTGTTTCAACCAAACCTTTAGAGTTTATGGGAAAATTTATCAAAGAAAATTATGCACTCCTCTTCACTCTACGTATGAAGAAGTCAATAGAATATCAATTGTGTCAGTGCAATTGTTGTCCCATTTTTCAATGTGTATCTGTTATTCTCTATTAATCTTAAAAAAACAGCTTAGGAATTGCTAGAAGAGAATCTTTCGAATTAGATAGTTAGCTAGCCTTTTCCTTTCCATATAGTTTGGAAAATAGCAAGTAGATGTGTTTTCTGATTAGAAACCCTATGTCAAAAAATTTATCTTAGCGTTACAGAATTTATACATAAATACATTTTCTACCAGTTTATAAAATTTTGGTGTGAAATTTCACTTTACTTTGCAGTTTCCGAAATGTTATTTATGCTTTCTTTGTTTCAGGAACAATAATACAAACCAAATTAATTTCAGATTTCAGATTAATTCAGATCTTTAGTGCTAATATTTAGTGTTTTGCAAAATAGTTTATAGATGTAAAGTTGAATATAAAGGAACGTTTTGTCTCTTTGTATTTAAAAAAGAAAACACGAGCACTCGAATTTTGAGAATTTTTCCTTAAGTGCATTTAATATTCAAAGTATATTTTGATTTTGCTTTTGCTCCTGGACACATAAAAAAAAAATAGATTAAT